TCCTCAAAGCCTGTTTCCGCGTTGTGTTCCCTCGTTCTGGCGGTGTAATGGGTCGCGTTGCCAGGCGTTCAACCTGACTTCTCCTCGGAAGTCCCAAATTCCGAATGTGAGGTGTGCAAATCCCAAATTACTGCGTCTGTGTGTTTGGTCCCATCTCCCCGAGATGAGAGAAAAACCCCGGCCTTCCGCCCCCCTTCACCGCCCTGATTCGGGAGGCGATCGGCTGATCTTGCGTTCCCCGTGCCGCCTTCCTGGTGACTCCCTGGGAAGCGGTTTCTCTTGGATCTGCTGGCTTTCGCTCCAGCACGGGTCTGAATTTGGGTGTTTAGGGAAGCAGGCTTTTCTGTAGTAGGTGCTACTGATTTTTTTGGGGGGATGTGTGTGTGTGTATAAAATACGGCCAGAGCCTTGTCTAGATCAAAACGAGGAGAGTTGATCTTAGATCATCTAAGTGGGCTTAATCTAATTATCACCTTCGCTACCTCCGGTCGAGGCAGCGGTTGTTCTTTAGCAGAGCGCTTTATTCCTGTTGGTTTCTGAGGTACGAGCCCCGACTGGAGACGGAGAAGGTGGTAATTAGCTGGAGCTGACGGGGTCCGAGAGGAGACCTTTAACATCCCTTTTGGGGACGTCTGCATCTATCGCTGCGTCCGTTGTTTCCGTCGCCGACTGCTGCGTCTCGTAACGCAATGGCAGGAGGTTGCATTTGTGCCTCGCTCGCCGCGGTGCGCGGAGTGAGGCACGGCTGCGATGGATGAGACGTTCCTCCCTGCTTTGCCCATAAAATGGGGCTAATCCCGGGTAAACCAGCGAGACGGGCGGAGGAAGGAGGATGGAAGTGGCGTAAGCCAGGGCAGGAGATAAGCACTGAGAGGATGCCAGCCTTCTAGCTGTTGTCTGCAATAAAAGGTTTCTCCATTTTCCGTATCGTATTCTCCTTAAAAAAGCCCTGTACATCTAACTGCGGAGAAACGCGGTTACGCGAGACGTAGGCCGTTTCACCTGAAGCCAGGAGGATGGCCGTGGGAGCCTAATTCTGGCCAGGTTTCCAAACTTCCCCGCAGAGCAGAAGTGTCTGGTACGCGTTGCTGTGCGTCCTCCTTTTGAACTAAAAGCAGGAAAGTGTCACCAGATCACCGCTTTGAGGCAGGGACTCCTGTTTGTGTACCGTGCTGAGCGCCGTAAGGCCTGAATTCTGCATTACTGCGGTACGGGAGATAAGAAAATCGTCTTCTGCGGGGAGACCCCGCAGCTTCGTGTGGCGGTGGGAGTCTCGGTGTTTACCTTCCCCCGTGACATCCAGCCGTCTGACGCCGACGGCTTTGCCTTTTAGTCTGTAGTCTGCATCTCGGCAGTCGATGTCCAGTCCTGTTGTCTGGGCTGAAAAAATCCTCCTTGGACTTCTCGCTCTCCGGGTTCTGTGATTGCAGGGACCCCCCCTGCGGCAGAGGGTGCTGGCTGGAGCCCGTTTCCCATCTCGTGGGTACCTGTCCGTGCTGGAAGACGGGGAGGGTGGCAGAGAGCAGTGGTGTTCTCGTGTTGGTGGTCTGCAGCACGAGACGCTTGGCCCGGTTTGGTTGCGTCGCTGGCCGGCAGGTTTGAGAACACTTCTGCGCTCTCTGCTAATTTTGAGAGTCTTAAATCTCAGTGGTAGATGAGAGCTGATTGTGCAACGTCAAAATTAGCAGAGAGAGCCTGTGGAGGGAGAAAAGGGGGGGGTCCTTGATCTCGGGCTGGCCTTCTTGCTTGTGCTCAGCGGTGAGAGGCCGGGGGTGCCGAGGCTGAGGACGGCAGCGAGCTCTGGAACGGGCTTCTCCGCGTAACTCCCGGGTGTAGTTAATCAAAACAAAGCGGGAACAGGTAAAGCACATCCTGTCGTTGTGCGATCCTGGGTCTGCCCTGTCTGGGAGTTGCCTCACGTGGAAGGAATTGTTTGTCTGTTTGACCTGCGCCATGGAAACTCGGCTGGTTTGGGGTAGGTAGGTAGCTGCGGATCGCAGTGAAGTGACGCAGTACTGGTTTAGGAACCGGTAACTGAGAGTGAACTCTCTCCTCCCCGTGCCATTACGCTCCCGTCCCCGGGCGGTGATGAAAGGCGGCGTGTTTAAGGGAAGCTTGTAATGTCGATGTGCGTGTCTCCTTCTTCCGGGGGTAGGGGCTTGTTGAGGAGCTGCAGTGGTTATCGACAGCGGTTGAAACAAGGAAGGGAACGTTGTGAGCTGGTTACGCGTGTTTTCCCCAACCCAGCAAAGGTGGGGAGAGCCCGGCGAAGCGTGTGCTCGTGTCCTGCCTGATGCTTCAGAAAGACTGAGCCACAAAGCACCCAACTCTTCAGGCTACGTCTGGGTGGGTTGCTAGAGAGGACGGCGAGAAGAGGGCTTGTAGCAGGCTGAGTAGAGCAGGGTGGAAAGCGCGGTAGGAAGGAAAGGAGGAGCGCAGGGCTTCAAGAAGCAAGTGCTGGAAGAAGAGGAAATTGGGGTGAGACTTTACAGGGCCTGAACCGAAGAAAAGGAGACTCGGACAGAAAGAAATGGAAGGTGGCAGCAGTCGCACTTGCAAACGTCCTGGGGGAAGAAATTGAAAATTAAAGGAAGTCCCCAGAAATGGAGATGAGGGGAAGTAGAAGCAGCCCCTCGTATGAGCGGAGGGAAACCCTTGAGACTGGGGAAGAGTGCTCTGGAGGTGGCTGGGCAGAGCGGAGCTGGGAAAATACCCTGAAAAGGGGGTGCTAGGGTTGGGAAAACAGGTGGAAATCCCAAGGGAGAGGGAAAGGGGAGTCACCGGTGACACACACGCTCGGTAGAGTTTGATTGGGCTGAGTTGAGGGCAGGTCCAGAGAAGCTGGAAAGGAGGAGTTGCTGGACTGGAAGCGGCAGAGGGAAAGGAATCGGAGGCAGGAGCAGAGCCTGTATACGCCTCAGGTAAGCGAGCCGAGCTGGGGACTCTTTCGAGCAGGGAAGTCCGTGCGCGGCCTTTGCGGATGGGGCAAAGTGACCAGAGAGACAAAGGGTTTGGAAAGAAGGGAGAGGGAGAGGAGGGGTTGATAGGCCGGAGGTGGACAGATTGCAGGGCTGCGGAAGGGGAAGGCTAGGGAAGAAAGCGTGTTTGGGAGAATCGGTGTGAACACGGCCTGAATTAGCATAATCGGTGGGAAGTTAGGGTGGATTTTGCTTGCGTTTCTCCTGAAGGCCAGGGTAAATGACAAGGATAGTCAGGATGGGGTAAGCCACGTAGTTTAGCCCAAAGAAAAGAGAAGCAGATGCCTCGACGGTTGCAGAGCAGAGATCCCAGCACGCCGTGCCGTGCTGCACCCTCAGTGGCTTCAGCAACCTGGATATTCCCAGCTGCGGGAGGATGGGACCTGTTTCCTCACGGTCCGGGCACGCAGGCGTCCTGGCCTCGGCTTCCCCCTCCCGGCTCAGGTGCTCGGAGGGCAGCAGGCTGTGCCTCCACACACAGCGCCGGCCTGCCCGGGCCTTTCCGGGAGGGTGGCCTCTGCAGCAGGGCCGGGGCCGACGGGCTCTGGAGGGGCTCAGCACGCCGTGGGGCTCGGGGAGGGAGTCTCTGAGCTGCGTGGTGGCTCTGGGAGCCGAGCGGGATGGGCTCAGCCGCCTTGCGTAGGTTTGGCGAGTTGTGGAGTTGTTCCTGGGGCGAAGGTGGCAAGGAGCCGGGGATTGTATTTGCGTTGCATCTCGCTTGGGTGTCACTAATGACAGCGCTTGGGATTTCTCCCCCACACGTGGTGCTTGTTCAGGTAGACTCTGTCCCATGAGCAATTATCTCAACTCGTACGTTCTTTATTTGATGAGGAGCTCGCTCCTGCGCTGCCTGGTGTTCATTTCTGTACTGAGCTGAGCTGGCACGCAGACCTTTGCAAAGGCACAGTGTGCCAGATCACCCCGTGTGCAGGGTCGGAGCGCTTGAATTCGTGCCCCCATCTTCGGGTGGAACAGCTGAGGCAGAACCGAGCAGGACCTGCTCGGGGCGGGTCGCTTGGACGTCAGGGACAACCTGTGGGGCAAGCACCTCGCCCCGACCAAGGAGCACGGCGATTGCGCTGTGCAAGGAGAGGGGCGGAGGAGATCTCTGGAGGAGGAATGTCACAGGAAGAAAACTCCTTCAATTTGGCAGTATCTGTTTGAGTTCGAGGTGTGGCTTTGTTTTCACGGCGGAGCCTTTCAAAGGTCCGGGGTGTTCTGTTACAGCAGACGAACGTGCTAGCAGATTGCTTCTGCTAAAGTAATTAGCAGTGATGTCATCTTTAAACTTCCGAGTAACCTATCCCTAGAATTGCTGTCCGCCTGTACCGCAGCAGCAGCTAGCTCAGGCGACGAGCACTTCCCTCCCTGGGTGATGGCACGGCAGGGCTCACCTTTGTGGGGTGTCGGGCTTTTCCCCGAATCGTGTGTGTTGGGGCTTGTGCTCGCCTCTTGTCGAAGCTCAGCATTGTACTGGGGGGGGGGGCGCGTAGAGCGGGGGGGGGGGCGCGTAGAGCGAGGGTGGGGGAGCTGCTCTCTCCGGGGAGCTCTGCGCCTGCCGGGGCAAACAACTGTTTCCTCTGGTGTTACCCTTAAACTCGCCATGGTCGAGAGCTGCTGCTACCAGGTGAAACCGGAGCTTTCTCCAGCCAGCTCACGGGCATCGGTCCCGCGTTTCCTCTCGGTCACAAGGGCAAAAAAAACTTGGTTTGAGAAGTTGAGCTTCGTTTCTGCAAAGGAAGAGCTGCTCTGCAGTGGGAGCGGTTTCTTCATTAGTCAGACAAAGTGACTGACGCCTCGTTTTGTGACTGAACTGATTTAATTGTAATATATTCTTGTCATTAAATGCGCCCTTAATTTTGTGCCGCAGTTCTCTCAACCTTCACGAGTGTTTAGTCAGCACTAGATATTTTCCTGTCCACCCCGAAGAAAAAAAACTTTGAGAGGCAGAAGAGGAGAAAACTGGAAGGAGAAAGCGAACGAGTCGTTAGGGCGCTGTACTTGGACCGGCAGTGCAAGGGAGGCCTCGCGGCGAAACAAGGAGGCAGCGAAGTGGAGAACGGGTGACAAATCGAGGAGCGGTTGCTGTAGCAGTAATAATCGGTGAGATATAATTGGTGTCTAGCCCGTCCCTGAGCTGCGACGGGCTCTTGGGTGTTTGCAGTTTGGGGCAGGTTGGTGCCTCCTGCTCCCGTTTCCAGAAAGGTTTCGTTTTCCGTATTTTCTGTGGCGCTCCCTCCTGCGTCCTCGTGATCAGCCAGGGTGGCACGTTCCCAAGGGCACCCTAAAACAGTTGGGGCTACCTAGTGAGAACCCCGCTCTCCTTCATCCGGAGGTACGAGTACCTCCTCCAGTCGAGGGACTGGTGTTTTCCACGGGCCGCTCCCGTCTCCTGCCCTCCAGGGGGGAAGGGGACGGGATTCCTGGCTGCCTTTTCCTCCTGCGGTCTCCACCCTCATATTAAGTCTCCAAGCCTCTGATCAGCCTCTTCACCTCAAGGGAGCAGGCGTTCTCTAGCGTTCGGACTCGAGCTATAACTGCAGAAAAGTGTTGGGCAAGAAGTCGTAGGGTCCCTCACCTTATTCGGGGCTCAGCGTGGACTTCTCAGGCGGTCTCAGATGGGTTAGGCGGCTCGGCTTTCTCTGCAGCACATGCCGCAGGGCCTTGGGGTGGGAAGGGAGGCGGCAGGCTGCGGCCGGGCTCCCTTGGCTAATCACAGCCTCCACGGGGCGGTCATTATGCCGGTGTTGCGGATGTGGAAAGGGACGCTGATGTTAGGTGATAGGCCTGGGGCTACGGCGTCAATCTGTGTCAGAGCTGGGCTTGGAGATGGGCGTCTTGCTGATTGGGACTCGCCAACGAGGTTTTAAATCTACCAGGCGCCGTTTCCGTCTTCCACTAGACGCCTGCTCTGTGTCCTGGGGAGCTCGGTGTTACTTTAGTGAGTGTTTTTACATGACTGTGTCTCTTCTCTTGCCTTGTTAATTATTTTTTTTTCCCCCCTAGGTGAGGTGTGGCGTACCAGATGTCAAGTTTTAATGATTTTATGTAGTTGTTTTTTTTAAAAGACGAATGGATTAATGAAGAAGAATTTTAGTGAAGGAAGGGGAGGAAAAAATGGAACAATTGGAACAAACTGAGATCTTCCCCCGCACCGCTCGGGCCATGGGTGAGACAGACCTATTCAGCACCGTTTTCACCATCAGTTGTCTTCTGGGGCTGTAAAAGTGCTCCCTGAAAGCTCCCCTCCAGATCTCTCCGTTAACCTGGCCTGCGCTGCTTGGAAATGGTTGCCGCAGAAAAGATTTAATGAAATTCCTGTCGATTCCCAACCGCCGAGTGGATAGTAAGCCGGTGGAAAGGCCTGGGGGGGTCAGGAGAAAGGAACAAGTAGGAAGAGGACGAAAACACACAATCCGCTGGACCTTCCCCTCCCGCCCCCCTTGCAAAGAAAGGATTTACAGCTCAACCTTGCACCAGCTGTTCCTCGGCTTTAACAGTCAAGAGAGAAATAAATAAAATTAAACGGCCACCGCCAGCCAGCCAGTCCCGGATCCTGGTGAAATCGGGGAGAGTGTTTCTGTGACCCCCTCCAGCGAGGGGGAGGAGGAGGAGGAGGCGGCGGCGGCAGAGCAGTGCTGTGAGGAAGCTGGGCGGATTGCTTGCGAGACAACCCCCTCCTCCCGTGCAGCAACCGGAGGGGGCTGCAGCGTATCAGAGGGCAGATTAAAAAGGAGAAGTGGCTTCCTTGAGACTCCCGGCGTGGCTTTTTTGCAAGAAGTTTACCGATATCTTGCTCTTTCCCAGGGTGCTCGCTGGGTGGGAAGGTGCGCCCGGCTCCTCACCTTGCCCGTCGCGCTCATCCCCTTGCCCGAGCCTGGAAGGCTTCCCTTCCCCTTGGAGCCTGGTTGCCGGTGTCAGCCGTGTGGGGAACTGCTTTTTCCAGGCTGTTGCCCGACCGAGGGGAGCCTGTAAGGGCTCTCGGCATTCCTGCCCCAACGGCTGTTTTAAATCCAAATCCAGTTCTCTTGTTCTGAATTTTTAATGTTTGTAAACCTCCTTCCCTGCGCCCGCGAACTCGTGCGGGGCAGAGCGTAGCGTGGACTCCTCTCCTGGGCCTCGCGCTCCAGAGGCCGCCGTGGACTTCTCCGGACTGTCCGCTCCGGTCAGAGCTCGCGCGGAGGCTGGGTAGTGGTTTGCCCCCGTCCCCCTCCCCTCCCCTTCTCGTCTTGCTCTGACTCCCGGTGGGCCTGGGCTATGCTGCGGGGCGGATCCCCCACCACAGCTCCAACATGCCAGCAGCATCTGGAAAGAGATTCAAACCCAGCAAATACGTCCCGGTCTCGGCTGCTGCCATCTTCCTAGTGGGAGCCACCACCCTCTTCTTTGCCTTCACGTGAGTCCTGGCTACTCAACCAAAGAGCGGGGAGGGCGAAGGGAGGCCCGGGGACCCGGCCCCCTCCGTGCGGTGCTGTGAGGCTGGGGGGGCAGAGACCGCACGGGGGTTATCTGGGAGAGGAGCTGTGACTTCTTGCCGGACTAAAGGGGGGATGTTGTGCTCTGGGTGCTAAAGGATGGACGGTGGAGTAGCCCTGCAGTCCGTCGGAGCAATTCAGCCTCAGCTGGACCCGTCTCACTCGGTTTTCCCGTGGGGCGAGCCAGAGGAAGCGGGGCACGGTGGATCCCAGCGAGGCACCTTGCCGCCGCTCGGCTCCGGTTCCTGGCAGCCGCTCCTCTCCTGTCTTCGGGTGTTTGCACAACTCGCTCGTCTCGCTGGCAACTCTCTCGCAAATCAGCCAGGCTGGGAATTAGTTTGTGACCTGTAGGTGGAAAATGGCATAGATAATTTTCTCCTTTGGAGCTAAGTGAAGTGGTCTGGTGGACTGGGGCGGGCGCCGTGTTATTTTTAGGGTTTTGTAACTGATTCGTGAGCCACAAAGGAAAGTTCAAGGAGAAGTACTCTGACCCCTGCGTGGATCTCTCGCTGCTGTTGATGTCAGCCTTGCCCTGAGGAAACGAGGTTTTGGTATCTCTGGAGAGGATCCGAAGGAGGTGGCCTGCCAGCGGGTCACTGGGGCCTGAGGCAGATGCCTGCGTTGGCCTTGGAGCCAGGAGGGAAAAGCCAGGGTGTAAAATGGTACCGGTTGCTGGAGAGGGCCAGACCGTACCGTAGGGATCTCCCTGGGCTGGGAGGGGGATAGGGCTGCCGCTCACGTTAACGTTCTCCCTTCCTGGGTTGACAAATAGCTTATTAACACTCGCTCGGGGCCTAGCTGAGCCGGTTCTGGGTTGGTGGCAGGCGGGGAGGCAGGACCTCAGGCTGCTGAGGAGGCTGCCGAGCTGCTGCGCTGTCGCCGAGCCCTGGCAGGGACCTGCCCACGCTCCCCGCTCGAGCGGCTGCAGCCGGGCTGGCACTGAGGCATGCGTGTGCTGGGCAGGAATGCTGGAGCACGGCAACCGGGACCGGCTACCAAATCCTGCAGGGTGTTCCTGGGGTCGGGGCCTGAGAGGGGATGTGTTTTGGGGGGACAGCAGGGAGATCTGTTTCTTTGTGCTCACACCTTGGAGGGCTTGACGGTGGCTCCATGCAAAGCGTTTGGGGCTGTTACGGCGGGGGGGGGGGGGGGGTGTGAAAAAGCCGGTCCGGGGGTGTCGCGGCCGCTGGCCTGGGGGTGCAGGCAGCCGCTGTCCCAGGCAGGGAGGAGGAAGGCAGTGGGTGGCTGCTGCCTGCCTCCCCTCAAGCAGGGTGCCTGTTGGGCGGCTCCCTCCAGCCAGCCAGCTGCCCTCGGCTCTGCTTTGCCTCTTGAGCCTCCTTCCATCCCTCCTTTCCTCTTCCCATCCCTCCTTTCCTCCTCCTGTCCATCCGTTACTCCTCCTCCTGCCCAGGCCCTGCAGAGGGGCAGAGCACACGCTGGTCTGAAGGTGGGCGGCCCACGGCCTCGGCGGGTGCGCTCTGTCCTTCCAGCCCTCTCCAGGGAGGCAGGAGATCAGCCCAGCTCCCTTTTTCCTCCCTGCTTAACCGGCTGTTTCTCTTTGCCACCAGCTGCTCCTGGCAGGGTCCTGGCTGGGCGCAGAGGGAGGTGCACCCCCTGCTCCCGGGGAGCGTCTCCTGCTCCCTGGGGTGGCTTGCTTTTGCGGGGCACCTTTCATTGCGCCCCGGCAGGAGCTTTCCCCGCGGAGGGGGTTTTACTGCTGGGGCTGGGCTGGCGGGGCTGCGGGGATTAGCCGGGGCCGCGGGAGGCAGCCCCCCCTCGGAGGCAGAAGGGCCGGG